AGAAAAATCAAACAAGACAGAACATGCGAGTCAAATGTATGCGATGTCGACTAAGGTTTCACTTCCCCCCCCCCCCCCCCCCATCGCTAGAGTGTCCCCCCACCCACGGTTATGTGCAAGCACATGCCCAAACCACTGTCATTAAATCGTAAATTCAGGAAAAAAATTAAAGTTAATAATATATGCTTAATCTTGACTAATCTTCGAATTAAGTGGTTGGTTGTACATAACCGAGAGCAATGGTAGATCTATAAGAAAAGAAACCCTCGTGGGTAAGATCTATGTTAGACGCTACTTAATAAAATAAAATAAAAAGCAATGAAACACTAGTAGACAAATCAGCGTGGTTATAGCCCTAACGAGAATCTTAATCGGACGCTAATCTTACGAGGTATGCCATGATAATTGATAGCAGTACCTCCCTTCTAATGCACATACTTAACTAATAACCACGAACACTTGAACATGTGCAAGAATCTTTACTTAGTTCGCAAGCATAGCGACCCACTTCCAATCCGATACCTTCGCCAGAAGGCTAAAAAAGAAAGAAAGAGAGAGAGAGAAAATAAACGTAAAAAAAATACAAGCACGAGGAAGAGAACCGCACAATCCCACTTCCATCCATGTCATGCAAAGATTCGCGCCATTAAAAAAGAAAAAAATCCCAGGAAAATAATTGCAGTAGATGCACGGCGATCCTGCTCTTCATTGGTGAATATTCTAAATTATTTGGCCTTTTTCTTTTCCAGTTTCTTGTCTTTTTTATGCTAAAGAGATGATTTTTATTCCTCTGGCGAAAGCTGGTTAATCGATTCAGTAAGCCAGTAATAATGAAGCAGAAAGCTGCTAAAAGTGGGAAATTCAACATAGGAGCGACCCCATAATAATTTTGGAGTTAATACCACGAAAAACTTCAAACCGGTACATTCGTGATAAATTTAGTCTAAATTAATTTTTTGATCACCAAAAGATAAATTTACCCTCCGTTAAATTGAATTGATATCACAAAAAATCACAAATTAGTATACCTAGGAAAAACGGAGGGTAAAATTCTAAACCGATACACCCGTCAACTGTCACGTGTCATTTAATTCATAAATTTGACGGTAAAATTTAACGAAAACTAATGGAGGGTAAAATTGTCACAGATATACCGATTTGGAGTAAATTTATTATAGAAATATCAGTTTGAAATTTTTCGTGATATTAACTCGTCATTTTGCGAGGCGGGAGACTCCCACTATGCTCGGTAGGATGACGTGGCGACCGACATTTTTGGGGGGGCGGGGAGGCAAGTGGTACACGCCAGCGCTGCAACTGGTGGTTGACTGACTCGATTTGGTACTTTCTCCTCTCTCTTCTTTTTCTTAAGATTTTTTGGGCCCTGAATAGTTTTTTCTCATTTGAAATTAACAGAGGCTAAACAGGGTGGGGGGACCATACCATAATATATCGGGATGTCATAGGCATTTGCCAATTGCATGATGGCATTATCATTGTCATTGCCATTGCCATTGCCAAAATCAGAAGAGTTTTTTTTTTTATTTTGGTCGAAAAAATCAGAAGAGTTTTTTTTTTTTTTTTTTTTTGGTCAGCAAATCAGAAGAGTTTGCTCAGCTGCTTTCATAGGGCTATCTGCACCTAACCCCCGGGGGGCGGCGTACATAATAGCATAGGGGACTTTGATGACTCCATCCAGTCAATATAAAAACAAAAATAACAAAAGTATCAGGTGGGGTCCACTTGTTACTATTCCCCACTCCATGCGAAAAAAAAAAAAATTTGTCAAGGTTTTTAATGAACACGGGATTAGCTCAAATCCCACATCTTATGCATGTAATATAGGAAAAAGTGACACAGATGAAGCTTTTGTCTTTTAACAAATTATGTTACTTTGTTTCCACGAGACCACACCCAAGGACGATTTCGGCATCATCCAGATGTATGCGGACCGGCCATGGAGTCCTGTTCAATAAGGGGAACGCATCAGTTGTTTCGCTCTTAGGTCGAGCAATAAGGGTCGGAGAAGGGCAATACTTATTTTTAAAACCAGCATTCTTACTTGATTTTCCGATTCAACAGTTCGATGCGTGATTTCTCATTCAAGAATGGACGCTGATAAAATCCTCCCATTTAAAAACACCTCACGCAAGCAAGGATTGTGCACTTACTTCCTAAAGCCCAGGACAAGCATAAACATGCTTCCCGAGATAATACGCGCTCTGTTCTGGGGACAGCAATGGAGAGAACGTGCACCCCCACAGTAGTGTATGCTTTTTGGGGTGACTGGTCTGTCTCTTCCTTTAATGAATGGGACTGTTTGTGCTGCGTGGATGTTGCTGCTCTCGCTGCTGCATCCGCTGCCCCTTTAACTTTCGTCTGCTGTTGCCATCAATGTGACAAGAATTGGAGATCGAAGCAGGGGAGGGGAGGGAAAAAGGGGGGAAAAGAGAGTTTTGACCACGACAACAAGTGGTTGACTCCCCACTATCTCCCCCCCTTTTCCAAGTGCACCCTTCATGTGTCCCTTCTTCTTTTCCCCACCAATGAATGATTCGCGACGACCCTGAACTTTGTTTCCCACATCTACCTTCGCCACAAGTTCGCTTCTCCCAGTTCGCTCGTCAACGGGTCGAGTCAACTCAGATATTTTCTCTCTTGCCCTGTTTCGCAAGGACAGGAAACGCTGCTCGATTGCAGAGAAAGAAGGAAAGAGGTATTGATGTTGCCATATGTTAGTTAGTTGTTGTTGTTGATGTTGTGTTTTAATAAGATGTCATCTTCATAAGCATCAAGATTCGACAAGCGGGTCACTTAAGACGCGATCTCTCCGTACCAACGAGATCTATATCGAATTGCTTTTGCTTGGGATATTACTGGACTCGCCGCGCATGTGCATCGCACGTGCTCTTGCAACGTGATTAGCTTATGCAAATAGAATCTCCCCCTAACTCCGTGGAAAATAACGAATTAGTGATTCCATTCGTAAAAAGCCTAGATACAAAGCTCGCCATGGAACGTCACAATCTTCTAGAATCCTAAGAAAAAAAAGGAAAAGTTACATTGTTCGGCGTTGGAACGCAAAGCATTATTCTTCCTCCTTTTATGAAAAAAATAGAGCTTAATATGAATTGACTTTTCCCTCATGCTTAATTTAAATTGACTTTTGTAATATTCGAAACGCTTAAACTTCCATGAAACACGAATTTTAACACCTATAGTCAAATTTTTTCCATGATTTTTAAAAATTTAATAATATTACAGATTTTCACAAAAAAATGGTTAATACCACAAAAAAACTCTAAATTTGTGCATCCAAATTAGTATACCCGTGACAAATTTACCTTCCGTTAGTTTCCCGTAAAATTTTATTGTCAAATTGCTGAGTTGGATGACATGTGGCAGTTAACAAGCATACCAGTTTAGGGTTTTACCCCTCCGGTTGTTACATATTTACCAATTTATGATTTTTCATGGTATTAATCCAATTTAACGGAAGATAAATTTGTCACAAGTATACTGGTTGAGGGTTTTTGGTGGTCAAAAAATTAATTTAGGGTAAATTTGTCACAAGTGTACCAGTTTGGAGTTTTTTATGGTCAAAAAATTAGTTCGGGGTAAATTTGTCACATGTATACCAGTTTGGGGTTTTCCGTGAGATTAACCAAAAAAAAAAAAGCAAAAGAAATGCTTTTTTAATTTGAATTCCTAACAAACGTCTATCTTGGTATACTTTCGGTGGTAATAATCACCAACGTGCATCTCTCTGTAATGGAAAACGATGCTTCATATCTTAGTAGCTTCACTGAAAAACAGAGCAGACAAGGAACCTCATACTTTAGTATTCTTTGTTCCCCTCATCATTTGACGGCATCATAACTCGCGTCGAAACCCCTTATTCTTTCACCTTTCTTCTGCTTAAAGTCCAGAAGAACGTTAACTCCAAAGGCCGAAAGAATCGCGAGGAATTCGATGCAGACTTCTCGAGCTGAACAGGGACGAGGGAGAGGTCAAGAAATTCCCCAACATATCAAATCGAAAGATCCGACAAAAGGAGATTTTTACGCACGGCAACAACGGAAATTTCAACATATTTTTATGAAGATGTGTTGAACGCCCGCAATTCTGATTTAACTCGATTGCCTAATTAACGCGGCCGATATGCAGATTGAATTGAGAAAAAGACCAGATCAACTTTGATACTCTCACCATACATAAACGACCCCAACCCATTGTTATTCCCATACCTGTGAAGATGTGCACCAGCTGGACCCGATATCAATATGATCGCCGAGGGCCGGACCGAAACAGTAGAAACTCCCTGCCATATTTTTGCCATTGCCAAGCTCTGTCTTTCGCAATGGCCACACCGAGATTTGGTAAAGTCCCCCGTTCAATGCCATCCACAGTGCCCCACATCAAGCATCGCGACCACCCTGATCATATCGGTTTTAATTACAGTACACAAAGCGGCGTAATTAGGGTGGGCTCGAGCCCGGTCCGGTCCGGTCCACCTATCGTCTTCTGCATCGCGGGTATCCATGAGTTACCTAACCCCCCCAAAGCGGCTCTCTCGAACAATGATCTTGTTATCGAGTACCCACGAACTATAGATACATTTGATTAAATACGGCACTCGAATGACGGGCCCTTTCGTAATTAACTTTATTTGGGTGCAAAGAAAGAAAGTGAAAAAAAAGATTACTTTCATCCTCATCAGCTGCAAAAATGACAGCAACAGATTTCTGCGGCTTTTACAGCCCCAAGAACAGTGCGGTCTTTAGCACTTTCTTTAAACCGCGGAGTGACATAAATTCATTTCCTTTACCATCTCTCTCCCTCTCTCTCTCTCTCTGTCTGTCTGTCACATCGGCACATTTTTCTTTTACAGCAAGCGGGGAAAGAAGAAAAGGAAAGAAATGAGAAAAAGGAGCTCACTTTCCTCTCTCGAGAGTCGAGACAAAAGAGAAGGTGAATACGGGGAAAAAGCCCATTTAAATCCCTCCCTCCCCCCTGCCATTTCTAGAGAGGGAAAGAAATCAGGGGCGTATTTATTTATGCACATTCATATGGGAAGAGAGGGAGACAGAGGAGGGGAGAGAATCATAAAGGTAATGACAGTAGCAGTTCGCAGCTTAGCTGGAGCATGCGGGATCACCGGCGGTCAAACCCCTCCTCGTCGCCGGAAATCGGTCTCCATCACCCCCTGACTCCGATCTTTCTTTCGGGTCGCTCGCCATTTCCATCGCTGCTGCTTCTTCTTTTTCTGGGTATTTTACAGAGTGAGAGAGAGAGAGAGAGACGATGTGCGGGAGAGAGAGAGAGAGACAGAGAGTCTGTGATTGAATATTGGAAGAGCCCCCCCCTGTTCTTGCTTGCGTGCTGTGAAGCAAAACGAGCGCATTCGTGTCACACAGAGAGAGAGAGAGAGAGAATAAAAATGGAGATGGGGGGTTGTGCTTGAGAGTCTTGACCAGTCGTTTCTCTCTCTAGAATTATTTTCTCTCAAAATTTTATTGTTTTTTTCTAGTGCCCGTCTCTGCCTCTCTCTCTCTCCCCTCCTTTGTCAACCGAAGAAAAAACTGGAGAAATCTTAGAGAGAGAGAGAGAGAGAGAGAGAGAGTAGGTGGAGAGAGGGAGAGACAGAGCCGCAAAGAAGCGGAGAGAAGCAAAGGGGAGACGGGGACACAGATTTTTCACCTACTGCCGTCTCTCTTTGAAGGCTCAGAGGGCTGCTCTGGCTTTTGCTTCGGGATTGAGGTAAGCAAGTTTCTCCGAGAAGGCAAACGCATTTGGCATCAATCCGTGTAACAGGTCTCGTTCTAGTTTGCAACAGAGCAAGAGGGCATTCCTTAGCTGGGGGGAAAAAGAAAGATGGGGTGATGATGGTTGAATTGTCAGATCAATGTTGTTTGTGAAGCATGAGGAAGCATAGGAGCGAGGTGGCGTTGTTTCTCTTGCTCCTGGTGTTACTGTTTAGCGAGCTGACGATACAGCAGCAGCCGCTGAGTTCGGGCACCGAGCGTGTTGCTCTGCTTCAGCTCAGATCTTCTTTAGGGATTCGAAGCAGGGAGTGGCCCAGGAAGGCGGACCCCTGCTCCTTGTGGCAAGGTGTGAAATGCGAGAATGGTAGAGTCACAGGGATCGACATTTCCGGGTTTAGGAGGACTAGACTTGGTAGCCAGAATCCGCAATTCGCTGTCGATGCGCTTACCAATTTCACCCTGTTGACGTCCTTCAATGCCTCCGGGTTCTCTCTCCCTGGTCAAATACCCGACTGGCTCGGGCAGCGGCTCGGGTCCCTGCAAGTGCTCGATCTCAGGTCTTGCGGGATAATTGGCATTGTGCCCCCCAGTCTTGGTAACCTGACCAATCTCACTAGCCTGTATTTAGCGGATAATAGCTTGAATGGTACAATTCCATCGAGTTTGGGCCAATTGTCTCACCTTTCAGTCCTTGACCTTTCGAGCAATGCACTCGATGGATCTATTCCTTCATCCTTTCTATCTCTTCGGAATCTCTCCACTCTTGACATTTCTTCCAACTCCTTATCTGGGTCGATTCCTCTGGGCATCGGAAACCTCTCGGGCCTTCAGCATTTGAATCTTTCGGGCAATGAATTGTCTGGTTCATTACCTGTGCAGCTTGGGCACCTGGGAAATTTGGTCGACTTGGATCTCAGTTTCAATAATATATCCGGGTCAGTGCCATCAGATTTGAGAGGACTCAGAAGTTTACAGAGAATGTTACTGGGTAACAATCTACTCGGTGGGCCTTTGCCAGATGACTTGTTTTCTAATCCCAGTCAGTTGCAGGTTGTTGTCTTGAGACGTAATTCCTTCACTGGTTCTCTTCCCAGATTGTTGTGGTCAATGCCAGGACTGGTTCTGCTGGATATCTCTGGCAATAATTTCACAGGTCTTTTGCCAGACACAGGGTCGAATGCCACTGCTGCAGTGTTGAATATTTCTCAGAATTTGTTCTACGGTAATCTCACTCAGCTGTTAGTGGGGTTTGGCTTTATTGATCTGTCGAAAAATTATTTTGAGGGCAAGGTTCCTGATTTTGCCAAAACTAATTCATCTCTTGGCAACAATTGCCTCCAAAATGTATCCGATCAAAGAACCGCGGGCGAGTGCGCCTCATTCTATGCTGAGAGAGGTCTGGTTTTTGATAATTTTGGACAGCCAAATGCCACCCCGCCTTCTCCTGCTCCAGAAACTAAAAAGAAAAGCAAGAGGAATTTAATTATTTTGTGTGGAGTTTTGGGTGGGCTTGTTCTTGCGTCTCTTCTGGCTGTGCTTCTTTGGTTGCTCATATGCACCCGTAAGAGGGGATCGTCGAATCAGAGAGCGGTTGGCGTTGGGCCAGCTTCAGCTGGTGGAACGCCACTGCCTTCTGGAACATCAGTTGACTTCTCAAACTTAGGCGATGCATATACATATCAGCAGCTGCTCCAAGCCACAAATGAGTTTAATGACTCGAACCTCATTAAACACGGACACTCAGGGGATCTCTTCAGGGGCATCCTGGATGGCGGGATTCCTGTTGTCATTAAGAAGGTTGACCTACATTCTATCAAAAAGGAAGTTTACCCTGTTGAATTGGATTTCTTTGGTAAGGTTTCCCATGGAAGGTTTGTACCATTTTTGGGACACTGCCTGGAGAGTGAGAATGAGAAGTTCCTGGTTTACAAATATATGCCCAACGAAGACTTGGCAAGTTCTTTATTTAGGAAAACCAGCTCAGACGACGATAGTTTGCAATCTCTGGACTGGATTAAGAGACTAAAGGTTGCGGTAGGAGCTGCAGAGGGTCTATCTTATCTTCATCACGAATGTATTCCCCCTCTTGTGCATAGGTACTTCAGAAATCACTTGCTTTTGCTTCTATTTTGATGTTTCACGAATCCTCCTATGATTCATTCTTTTCTCCTCGTGACAATTTAGTATGACTTCCTCGAACTCTTTCTTTCGTGAATTACAGTAATGGTATGGGACCATATATTTGATATTGATGTTGTAAGGGTGCCTTGCTTTAGAGTGGGAAGTTATCTTTTGCATTCGGTTTCAGATTAGATTTTGCTAATCTCATTCTAAGTTGTCTTTCATTATGCTTGCTGAAATTAATATGCATAGTTTGATGGTAGTGAACAAGTATTCTGGATCACAAGCAATTAAACACGCCCGATCTTATTTAGTTCCTACAGAAGCTGGTCATGGATTCACTAGAGGACGACTATATACATATACGAGTGCTCATGTGTGTGTGAAGAACTGGTCCAGACTCTCCAAACTTTTATCTTAACAAGATACAGAATATCTGTGATAAAGAAATAAGTACATTGATGTATTGGAAGGAATGACATGTCCTTGTTTGTGAATGAAGGGATGTTCAAGCGAGTAGTATACTTCTTGATGATAAATACGAAGTGCGTCTGGGAAGCCTCAGTGAGGTCTGTGCTCAAGAAGGGGATACACATCATAGCAGAATCTCAAGGTTACTGCGCTTGCAACAGTAAGTATAAGCATTCTGCTATCAGTTGTTAAAATTTTGTGAATTCATGCTTATATGTGAACTGGGTGTAAATAATCGTTTACTGAGATATTGTTTCTGGACCTTTTCTATACTTAGTTCAGTCCAGATGACTGTCGTTTTTTCTTATCATAATAATGTATTGCTGCTCTTGCTCTCTTTCCTGTGGCTCTATAGTATTTTCCTGGAGTTTATCTTCTGCTTTTTGCGATTTATAGGATTTTTCCTCAGTCTTATGGTCCTCTTTAAGAGTCCTTCACTTGGAATCAGAGCCTATTCTGATAGGTTTTTTTTTTTCCTGGTTAACTTCTTTAGTAGTGTTGAATCTGTTAGATTAAGTTGGTTCTTTTGATCAGGCTATTAACGGTTTGGAAAACTTTGTCTCCTCAACAGAATGTTGTGAGGGTAACGCATGCGCGATAAACATACACTTCATATACTCTTTAAAAGAAAACTCTGCCTGCTACTTACCTATCCTGACTAAATGAGAGCAGCGCTTCAACTAACACTTAACTAGTGGCCATTGCAGCCGTGGGTGGTGCTGATGGCCTCATATAATTAGAGAATCGGATATAGTTCTATTTTGGGTGTTGACATTGTTGACCGTAAAAACTTTGAGAATTTATGTCATTGGGAGACGGGATGAACTGAAAGAATGCATAGTGGAAGCATTTTAAGAATGCAGAAGAAGCAGACTGTCAGGTCCGTCATAGTATATGCAGATTCTATGGGTAATTTTGAGACCTTAGGGGTTCCTCCAATACAATATCATTGTTAGCATCGTCAGCCTACTTTCGGCAATGCAACTAACAGCAATGAAATATCAGGATTGGTCAAATTGGATTTTGTCAGTTTTTAAAGTAGATTCTGTGGTCAGATCTTTATTGTTCATTTGGGGCATGCAAATCCAGATTGCCCATATGAAAATACCTGCTTGAAGCTGCAGGTATCATGAGTCAAAGTTGACAGCAAAAACTAAACTATGAGACATAAAATGTCCAAATCCTTTTACATCCAGTATCCATCTCTTGGAAGAAATGTTCATATAGTCAATGCCATTGCCCACAATAAAAGTTCATACTGTTAATGCCATTGTCTAGAATGCTCCTGTAGCCCATTGCGAGGTTGCATTGTTGATCCAACTGCAGTAAACATCGATTATGTCCAAATTCCTTTTTGTACGGAGCTCCGGCTGAATTGTTGTTTAGCTTCTTCTTTGGGATAGGGACTGGTCATAAAGTTGAAGCTTAACGACTTTATAATTTAAAGTGCGATAATTTCCTTTCTTTTTTATACTTAATGCAGTGTCAGTAGACGACGTGAGAATTTTAACTCCATATGTGGCAATATATAGTATACAGAGTCTTCTCGATTCACTGTATTTAGTGGTATAATATTTGTTTTTTTTTTTGGCCTTTGGCAGGTCGTCGGAGCAAAGTACTTCTGGTAAGTGCCACTTACTTGTAGATTTTATGTCCATCAATCGTCTTTTCATCTATTTTATTTTCTTTATAGTTTCAAGATCGGGGCTTCATGATAATGTTCTTTTGATATAGTCAGTTGCCACATGCTTCACTAAATACAGTCGTAGGTGCTCTTTTAGGCAGGCTAAAGATGGGCTACGAAGCTCATAAAAGCAATCTCCGTTTTCTGTACTTTGGCTCTGGAACGACCTGGATGTTTCTGACTTTTCTTTGTATGTGGGAATTGCAGATTCTTCTACAGCAAATTGTGCATACGACGTGTATTGCTTTGGGAAAGTTCTACTGGAGCTGGTGACTGGTAAGTTGGGTCTCAGCGCATCCAGTGATGCTGAAACAAAGGAATGGTTGGAACAAACGTTACCTTATATCAACATATACGACAAGGAACTGGTCACAAAGATTGTAGACCCATTGCTCATCGTGGATGAGGATCTGCTGGAGGAAGTGTGGGCCATGGCGATCGTTGCGAGATCCTGCCTCAATCCGAAGCCATCTCGGCGTCCACCCATGAGATACGTATTAAAGGCTTTAGAGAACCCCCTGAAGATCGTAAGAGAAGAAAACATGGGCTCGGGAAGGTTGAGGACTACCTCTTCTAGAGGGTCGTGGAACGCCGCTCTGTTCGGTAGCTGGCGGCGCAGCTCATCGGATGTGGCAGTTATTCCGGCTTCCTCCGCCGCGAAGGCGGAAGGAACAAGCAGCTTTAAGCAGTCGGGGACCACAGGTTCGCAGGGAAGTAATCATAACGGTTCATCCTCGCACAGACGGCATTCTAAGGATATATTCCCCGAACCATCTGATGTACAGGATGTAGAGAGACAAGATCAGGAATAGAGGGGGAGAGGTTGATTTTTCTTCATTATTCTTTGACAATAAAATGCGGGCTTCCCATTCGAGTGCCCGGTTCTTTCGGCAAATTGGTCTCGCTTTTTGGAAGGGAAAAGGGGTTCCAAGCGAAGCAATTCTTTATCTGCTCGAGCAACCGGCTTGAGAATCTAAGAGAATCCTAAGCTGAGGAGCAGAAGTTGCAGAAATTGAACGATTTTCGGTAGTTTATGGCAAAGCTATTTTTGAATGTGTGGATGGTTCGTAACGGTTGGAATTTTGTGGGTGCGCCTTTTTATGAGTGTCGTGATAGCTTGTTGGCGGGGACGAGATGACGAGCTTCGAATTCGTTTCGGTAATTGTTTATGGTCCTTTGGTGGTTCTCGAAATGTAAATCGTAGATTTTTTCTGTTTTCGGTTTTATCGCTGGAGATATCTTGTTTTGGTGCAACTCAGAGTTTCGGCTTGGTCGAAAAGGAAACATGAGGAATCGATAGCATGATTTTACTGCACAAAAGTGAAGGAATTCCCTTCGAAATTAGCGCGCGACTAGAGCGATGAAAGGGCGGCGTACGCGGCGCAGGGGACCGAGTACGGTTGCATGAATCGTGTGAGAGTCTAATATTACGCAGTGTAAAAGAGCTTGTTGGATCCCCCATGGTTTTTGCTTGTTAGCACTTTGATTCTACTTCTCTGATGGTGCATTTGGGAATTGTGGCCTCGGTTATCTGTTCATTTTGAGAGCGGCGAATCTCTTGTCCGTTTTGCTTTCCGGTCTTGATGGTTGTTAATCAGAAAATGGGGATATATAGTATGATTTTGTATTAGAATCATAAGGTATCGCTACGCTACGATATCGGGATCATCATGCCGACTGCCCCGTTGGAGGACAGGACGATCTCGGTATATTCACTGATGAGATTAGCCAAAGACAAAGAACCTGATTAGCTTAATAGCTATCGAGAAGTCGGTATCTCCGAATCTATCGGGATCATCGTGCCGCGGTCGCTGGCCGAGGCCGAGCCTCGCTCCCGCGTCGAACAAGATCCGAACGACCGGCTCCCCTAACAGCAAAAGTTTAGACTGGAGAGAATGACTCCTCCTTTATGAAGTTCCGGCCCACATAGACGGGCGGGCCGGGCCTGAACGGGGCCCAATGGGCCGCGAGACGCCGGATCGGTGAAACGACGGCGCTTCCACCTTTTGACTTCTTCTTCTTCCTCTTCCTCTTCTTCTTCTTCTGCAGCTTCCAGAACTTTTTTATCTGCTCCCTGAAAAGCGCGAGATGATGATGCTGCTGCATTATTTCAGTTTACGCTCCACAGCAGCACTCCCTCCGACTCATCATCATCGCAACATGCTCCTCCCCCTCCCTTGTCCCTCCGGCGCCGCCTCCTCCGTACGCTTCTTCTCCTGTCTCCGCCACTCCCCCGAGAACAACGCCGCCGCCGCGAATAGCTCGCCGGACCGCCACGCCCTCCGCACTCACAACTCCAAGTCGACCTCCCTCCTCCTCGGCCACCTCTCCGCCCAGACGCCGGAGCCCTCCCCGAACCCGGACGCGGACCCGGACCACCTCGACATCCCGCCTCAAGACAAGGTCATGCTCCTAGAGACTTCTCTCTCCGCCAGACGAACGCCTCAGTTCCCCGGCTCCATCTACGCCCCGTCTCTGAGCGACGCGGACGGCGCCTCTTCGCGGCCGCCTCTGCGGACGCTGTTTCGCGACGGAACCGGCGGTGGCGGCGGTGTCGGTGACGAGGAGATGATAGTGCGCGCGGTCGAGATTCGGAGGAAGGTGACTGCCGAAATTCTCAAGGGAGCGATGATGAAGGGCAAGTTCGGGATCACTTACACTGACAATCTGGTGGGGAGGGTGCCGGCGTTCGTCGATTACGTTATGATTGAGGCTGCCGCGATGAAGCGGTCGCCGGAGTTTATGGAGTCTTCCTTTAATGTTCGCGCGAAGGCTGTTGTGGAGGACTCGAATTTTGTTCCATTTATAAGGTCTGAGCGTCGTCCTATTGGTACTTACTTTCCTGTGCTTGTATTGCAGCTGTTGCTTACGTGCCTTCTGTGCTTGAACATGTGTCGTTACGTGCTTCATCTTGAGACATTCTTTTAGAAGTTGTGGCATGATGTAAGGAAGGCATTGTGTTGTGTCAAAGGATTGTCTGAGAAGTTCATGTCATCGTTAAGTTATTTTCAAGTTTATATCTTGTAGTAGCTAATATTCCTTGCCTTGAATGCAAGTACATCTAATGGCTCCCTGCATCCTCGTGATTTCTGTTCCTTGGCTGTTAGAAAGAATGTCTCCTCCTTTAATAACGTTGTCGGGAGATATGTGAATAGGAGATTACCGCTTCTGATGTTTGACATTGCTGATCACTTAGGTGGTTGAAACACAACTCTCTGTCGTACCCGCAGATAGGGAAGCTAATATGTATGTCGAGGGGAAATCTCGATTCAATAAGACGATTTGCTGAGTGGTTGAAGTCCATTAATGTTAAGGGAAGATTTCTCGGGGTTGCTCTCATGAAGGCGGGAGATAATATACTGGAGCGAGGGAATGATGAACTGGATGAGATGGTACAGTATTTAGAGGACAACGGGGTCAGAAGGGAATGGATGGGCTATATCATGAGCCGGTCTCCTCAGCTGTTGTCTTACAGCATGGAAGAAGTGAAATCTCGTGTAGCCTTCTACTTGGATATGGGAATGAATGAGAATGATTTTGGCACGATGGTTTTTGACTATCCCAAGTCACTGGGCTACTTTACGATGGAAGAGATGAATCAAAAGGTATGCGGCCTATGCACTTATTTTGACATCGAAGGATGCAAATTGGCTTCATATAGTGGCTGAGAAACTATTTAACACATGAATTTTTAATTGGGAGAGGGAAGCAAACTAAATTTACAGCTTAAGAAATCTTGGAACTCTTTCTTGGACATCTTGTCTGTACTTTTCCCATGCCAAACCTCCCAGTTATGGGATATTGGATGTCATAATCGAGTCAGCAATTTAGCAACCTGAGCAGGCTTCCATGGTGGAGCTGGACAACAATAAGATTAAGTTGCCTGACACTGTGGCAAACACTTTGTATCATGTTACCTGCGGTATTTCAATTGGTTCAGTGGGCATTTCTATTTGTGTAGGTGCATTATTTGAAGGAGTTTGGTCTCAACATTGAAGAGATTGGCAAATTACTAGCCTTTAAGCCTCAACTTATGGGTTGCAGCATTGATGACAGATGGAAGCCTCTGGTAAAGTACCTGTACTACCTTGGAATATCCCGTGATGGTATGAGGAGGATGCTCGTCGTTAAACCAATGGTATTCTGTGTTGATTTGGAGAAAGTTATTGCACCAAAGGTTTGCCACTGCATATTAGCCTTCTTTATGTGAACCGCAATCCATCGTGTCCATGTAATTTAGTTCTTCAATGAGTTGTCTTGATTTATTATGTGAAGCATTAAACTCTAAACTGTCTGCGAGTGCTTGATAATGGGAACTATTGGTTTCTACTTTGTTCTCGTTCCTCTTTAATAGCCATAATTGGGATTTTAAAATTAACAAATTCCTTTTGTTATGAAGGTGCGGTTTTTCCGGGATATAGGCATAAGAGATGATGCTATTGGCAAGATGCTGGTTAAGTTTCCACCATTACTGACGTACAGTCTGTACAAGAAAATCAGACCAGTGGTTTGTTCTTTTTATTCCTAATTCTGTCTCCTCATCCATCACTTCTTTTTCTTTCTTTTCCTGCTTTTCTTTTCTAAATGAGTTTATCCAAAGATGTTATGCTATACATACATCGAGGTACATAATTTTACTTGTTTGATGTAACATCTTTCCTGGTTCGTAAAGTGGTGCTGCAGTATGAGTAACAGATGGGCATGGTTGCCTTTATAATCTTTAATCTGGTGGTTGCATTTTCAATAGCATGGCCAACTGTAAAGGCCCTCGTTACACTCTGTAGGTTGTTGTGCAACTGAAGTCATATGAAATTCTCGGATTTTACCCTGAAAGAAAGCAAGGCCAAGAGTACTGCAGGAATGATCTAAACATTCCGATTCTGCACCCAAAAAGAGCATTTCTATTGTCGATGCACCTTTTGGGCAGGTTGAAATGGAAATGTTTAATCAGTGGGATGATATTGAGCTTCTCCATGTTCAATTGACTGTTATTTTGGCTCTCATCACAGAGGTCATGATATTTCTCCCATTTTATCCAAACCATTCTTTCCAAAAAAATCCTTCTAAAAATGTGTTTTTGATGATATATTGTCTTCTTTAATTGATTGGACAGATTTTGTTTTTATTTAGATTCCTCTACTTTTAGAAAATTGCCGGCATGACTTGTAGTAACAACTATCTGAAGACTCTGAATATTATCTGTTGACCTGAAACTTTAATTGTTATGCAGGTTATCTTCCTAATGACTAGAGCTGGAGTTACTGAGAAAAATATAGCTAAAGTAATAGCTCTTGGACCCGAGCTTTTGGGATGCAGCATAGCAAACAAGCTCGAGATCAGTTTAAAGTATTTCTTCTCACTCGGCATCAGAGTTCGACAGTTGGGTGAGATGATTGCTGATTTCCCCATGCTTCTCAGATATAATGTAGACATCCTTCGTCCGAAATACCGTTACTTGCGAAGAACTATGGTGCGCCCTTTGAAGGATCTTATTGAGTTTCCGAGGTGAGCTGCATCATCTGAAGCTCTGATACGATTTGCATGGCTATTCTTTGGTTTCTTATCCTGTTGCACAAGATGTATTTGGACGATGCCTGCTAATGCCTATAAAGCGAGAAATCTCCATGCGAGAGATCTTCATGCGCAACCCCACGTACTCGCATTCTCCCTGAGATCATTCTGGATAACCTAATTTGAATCTGTTCCTCCTGACTGACTATAAACTTTTATGCAGGTTTTTCAGCTATTCTCTTGAGGGTCGCATAATTCCTAGGCACGTCATTCTGGTGGAAAATAGGGTTAACATGAAGCTGCGCTACATGTTAGCCAGCACCGATGAGGAGTTCGAGCAGAGGGTTAAGGATGCAATCGAAAGACGACGCAATTTTGAGTCCAGGATTTCAAGCGAGAATCTCTCGAATTCTTTCACGGCAGATCAACAATTAGAAGGGGCTGCAGTGGGTTTTACTCGAACTGAGATTACATACTCAAATTCTCAAGAATCTGAACCGTTGAATTGCTCAGACAGTGTCAACATCTCTAGCAGTGATGAGCATCGTTCGAGTTCATTACTACATCAAAATTAAGATGTCTGTTCCTATAAATCATAGTCCTGATGTACATGATGCAGATTAGTGCTTTACTTTGTACAGAGTCCTATCCTAAACGCGAGATTGGTTATAGCTTTGTACAGACTCCAGAAAGAACCCATCACCATACGGTTCTAAATTCTGGCCTAAAATTAAAAAAGCCAAGAGAAAAAAAAATTAACGTTGTTCTTATGTCGAAACTAATCGGTTAGAGAAGAGGATTTCCCTCTTCCGTTGTGAATATGTGAATATATTTCGTTCAAGTTGGTTTTAAATTAGGGAAGCAATGAAGATTCGAGAGTTTTGTCTTTAGGAATCGGAAACTTTTACAGAGAACTCAATGACTTTCGGACCGAACGACGGTCGTACGTTCCTTAAAAACGACGTAGTTGTTGTAGGGTTCAAGGCGTCTTTCTCCCCTCCTATCTCCGTCCTAAAACCCTATGACTCGTGCTAACTATTTTGCAGAGGCTCGCTCGTGCCCTGTAAAAATCAGAAATGGCGTCTTTCTGCGGACAAGCGCTGACGATGAGTTCGAGGTCAATTGCCTCCAAGTCCGTGTCCTCGCTCCAGAAATCCGTGAACGCGAGGCGTGTCTCAGCTCTTCTCCGTTCGACGACAAGATCCACGCCCTGCTTTCCCAGGTAAACGGTTGTTCGTTCGCGGTTTCGGAGCAATTAGAGCTGTTCATGCATGCTAGCTGCGGTTGTTTGTTCTAGTCGTGGTGTCGATTCTTGCTCACGGGTTGGCTTGTTGTTTTGTATTTGGTTCAAGGGTGGTTTCGGTTTTGGGTGGCGTGGAGTCGCTAATGCCTCTCCACAGTGCCATCGCCTCGGCTCGGCTTAAGTCGAACATCGCCGTCGATACTCGTTGTTGGAGCTGGCTTTCTCAGGGTATGGCATTCTCCTGTTCTCCCTCTCTGAAATTCTTATCTCTTTTTATATGAAAAATCGAGTCTTTGGGTGCTCTTGATGTTCTTGAATTTGCTCCATTAGTTCATCTAGTGAGTCTCCGACAAAACAGTGATCTTTAGCTTGGTTTCTGCTCTAGTTGTTATAAGCTTTGGTTTGCGTTTTTTGGGTGAATGTGCTCGTGTTTAGGACTGAGATTTACTTTACTGTATATGGCACATTTGCGGATCTAGGAATGGTTGAACGCATTCCTGGTGGGATTTTAACTTTTGATGGGTGTGATCGACGGGATTTGACATTCTCTTTCTCAATTGATTTGGTGTAACTTTGTTGGCCTCGATGTTGTCTCGTCTAATGCCTACACTGACTTGCTTAACTGGTTCGTATAGGAATGGCAGTACCATTGTGACAGAGCTTTACCTGGTTTACCCAAGGCGATTGAATGCATAAGATCTTTTTCTTTACCAATCTTTTGAAAGGGAAATTGTCACTTCAGTCTTGAAGCTTCTGGTTGATTCTGCAATGCAGTGTATTTAAACTGCAGTAGCAAGCTACTTAGCACATTGGATTAGTTTCTCTCTTGGATTTGTTTATCCGTGATTGTAATAAGTTTTCTTCTGATAACCATTTGGGATGACATAGAGTGGAGAACAAGCACAAACTTGTCTTTTCATAATGATTCTCCAATGGTTTCGGGTAAACATGGTTGTGTCCATGGGTAATTAAAAAATTGATTTCTCAATTATTTGGATGCATACTCATCGTATTGTTTTCTAAAAATACATGCTTGTGATCTCTAAAGTTATTAACGACATATCTATCCCTCTTATTGTTAGAAGTTGATTATTTGTCTGCTGGAGGTGGCGGAATTCCACTAAATCACGCAATTAGGAGAGTTAGGAGATGGAGTTTATTTTTTACTATCGTTTAGTCTGCCTAGGAGATGAACCACTAATCCTTGTATTTGCCATTGACTTGGTTCTCCACGTCATACGCTGCATGCTGTTCAAAATCTTTCGTCCTTTTTTTTTCCTCCCTCCACTGATTGTAGTTTGTGTTTTTTCTTTGGCGTCTCCTAGACTTTGCAGTTCCTCGGTGACAGGACATCTTTCTCTTCGAACCATAGGAGCTCGCTCCGAGCTGCTCTCTTTCTACTCATCTTGGTCCTTCAACTCTTTGCCATTTATTTCCAATTGTGGCCACTGCCTGTTGTAAGTGATCAAGTTATTCTGAGCAACATGTTTAGTTTCTCTATAAGGTTTTCGCCTCCCTTCTTTAAAAAAGGAAGAGAAGATTCTTTTAGCCTCCCTCCCTCCCTATCTCTCTCTCTGCCCCACTCGGATTATGCTGTTTATCCCAAGGTTCATGCTTCGAACTAAACAGGACACATCGCAGCAAGTTTCATGCTGAATGATTTAACCAACGTCGCTGGTCAGGATGCTCTGATGGCCTAAGTAACTATGATATGTCCTGAAAGAAGAGCTCAGAATATAATTACTAATCATGCATGTGTCAGCATATGAGCTCTCTCGTGGCAATTCTACCAATTTTGACCTTTAAATTCTAATAACCATTAGGAGCTCAAGCTGCTGGTTTAAGATGACGAGCATATAAAGGCCCCTTACCTCGATAGGCAATGGCATGAAGGTCCGGTCGCTTTGCTTGTAGAAGATTGGTTTCATCTGATGTATATGATTCTCAAAGCATGATTTGTGTTCGACGGAAAACACGATTATCATCTTGTGGGTGGGTGAGTCTAATTCAATCAAGCTCTTTAGTGTTCGTGAAATTATTTTTTAGATTCTTCTTTCTACTACTATAGGACTAGAAGAAAGTAGGATTTAAAGGCCCTTACCTTGAATGGCAATGGAATGAAGGTCTGGGGTCGTCTGATGTATATGATTCTCAATGCACGCTTTGCGTTCGACAGAAAACGTGATTATCATTTTGTGGGTGGGTGGTCTGATTCAATCCAGCTCTTAAGTGTTCACGAAAGTATACTATAGACTCTTCTTTTCTACTTCTATAGGACTAGAAAGAAAGTAGGATTTACGCCTGTGAAGGGCCATGCGAGAGCACGTGATGGGTCGGCATCTCCGGAGGCCTGGAAGACCCCGATTCCCGAAAAGCATCCAGTTGATACCCACCGACTCTGCAAGTCCCGATCCACGCGTCTCCTCTTTGCCCATCGTGCGGCGGACCGACCACTTTCTCGCACGAATGCTTCGTTCCTCTTTCTCGTCTTATCTTTGTGCCTCGAACATGGTATGCGAGAAAAGCATATTGGTAAACTGGATATCTCTCAACTTATTTCGCCAGTATATGCCACTGGAATTGATCCCCCATTTCGTTGATAAACGATTGCTGTTGTCTAATCATCAGCTGAGCACGCCGAGGATTTGTTTGCCGACCTTCGAGGTGGTTATGGTTGATCACTTTGATATTTGCTGGATAATACCATCGTCCACCTAAAATAGTCCTGAGTGTTGACTACGCCGATTAGTTTGAAAACATTGGATAACCTCAAAAGTAGTCATCCAAACCTAAGAAAAGCAACGTACTCAGACCTCTAACCTTCGACCTATTCAGACGGCGGCCAGCTGCGCTCGTTCTCTTCACTGGATATTTGCGTCCGAATTTTTTATATTTGCGCGTTTTGTTATAGCCAACTTCCACAAGCAAGAAACTGTCTTATGAGGGAAGATTCTCACATTGGGTGCTAATGGGCATCGAACCAAAAGAAAGAGCTTGTGTTATGGGTTTTTACTTCCTGCGGAAACACTAATTTTCGTTAGCTACCAAAGAAGTAATTGATGAACTTTCTTTAATATTGCTTTGGTTGTTGTAGTAAAGAGTCGCCTTTTTCGGTAAATTTGGAATGAGGAACAAAAGAACAGTGAAGATTACTTTGTCATTGTTTGGTGTTGGGTAATGGGTTGACTGTTGCCCATCATTTTCAATACATCGGCCTTGTGAACCCTGTCCTGCTCTTTCTTCGTGGATAAGATCTGCGGAGCATCAGACACGCAGTGACCCCACAACCCCACTCTAATCGTAATTTATAACCGTAAACGCGACCATTACATCGCAAAATCTCCCGCATTAAACAAACGATTCCGCAACAAATCTGACGACAAACCCATCAGGGTCTTCGTCAATAACATATGAACAAGTTAAAGACTTGATTCCTTCCGTGGCGGAAGAAAGCAGTTTTCGCGAAAACCCAACTTCTCATCCGGAATTTCACGACTTGGGTTGTCTTCGAATTTTGTCGTCCTTCGCCATATCTTCGTGTGGCGTCGATCGATCGAGGGTCGATCAGGAAACAGAAGAAAGTATTGCGCTGTCTTTTCATTTGGGGTCCTCTTGTTTTTTCCTTTTCCTTTTGCGCCCCCACAGAGGAGGAGGATTAGGTTAGACCCATCGCTTCGGATTCTGGAAATCACAAGTGAGAGGCAGAGGGCTAAGGTAAAGAGTGTCAAAAGCTCTAGTGTATTGTCTTGTGGTTTTGGTTGGAGATTTTGATTCTCATGTCTCCGTTGTTTTTGCTAATGTGCTTGTGCGTGAGAGAGAGAGAGAGAGAGGGAGAGAGGAACTGACTGATTTTGTCTGATTATAAGACGTGCCTCGCGCGTCGTTTATTGCTGGCTATTTTGGAATCTGTAGGTAATTATTTTGTATTCATTATCTTCTCAATTTGAGTCCTGGTAAGCTAGTTTTTCTTTTGCTGTGAAATCAAGCTGGTTTTTATTGCTGTAAATTTACGCACACCTTCTCTCTCTCTCTCCAAGTTGACAATACAGAGGCTTGCGAGACTCTGTACTTGTTTTTTTCTCGGCGGAGCTTGTTGCTAGTTCATTTGATCATCTTTCTTTGCCCTTCAGACTGGTAAAATAACTCTAGCCGGTGCTGGTTTTCAGCTGTCCTGTATAGGAGTGGGTTCATTTGGGAACAAAACTATCTAATCTGATTCAGCTGAGAGTGTATTCTGTGTGTATATTGTTTTCTCCGCATTTAATCTTCTTATCCTTCTTGGTGCCCGGCTTCCTTTTTCTTGTGTAACTTTGGTGTGGTTATTGATTCTGCTTTGATGGGTGTATTGGTTCGACTGAATTCCTTTCCTCTTGGCCACGTATTGGTTCGACTGAATTCATTTTGAGAAAATGACTGCATTTTAACGCCTCCATGTCTAACTGCTTATACTTTCTCCAATCCCTTGCCATCTGAACTGTTCATGGCTACATAGTTAAGATTGTTCTCTTGTTGGACTCTTTCTTCTGGGGAAAATGTTCATTTATTTGGTGTTAGCTCTGTTAGTGAGTGTTTGGTTTATGGCTTCTGCTTTTTTATGGTTTCGGATGCCCGTTTGTGCTGAATGAACTTTATTCTTTGCAGGAATTCTGTGCTCAGTTGAGTATTACTCATATGGGTTTCTCAAAGTCACGAGCTAGGTGGAAGGATTTCAGGAAGGTGGAAGAGGAGAGGGATTAACTATTTGCGAGCCATGGAGAATTCACATGAGACATCAAATCATGGACCGACTGATAATGGTCACATGACCCCTCTGAGGCACAATCTGTATCAACCCAGTATAAATCCAGCATTATCTTGGTTAGATATAAAAGTCTTTTATGTCCGTATTAGCAAATGTGAGGTTGATGATTTGACACCTGAAAACCTCACTCTGAACCATATCCCTCTGAACCGTGACACTCTATTAGAAGTAAATGGTGTCAGAACTGGGATTTATTCTGATGGAGTTTCAACCATTCTTAGAAGGGATCGGTTGGATAAAAAGTCTGAAGAAGTTATATTTGTGAGTACTGATAGCATAAGGATGACAAACAGTGTGAAGTTTGAGCTTTTTGACAGGGATGCTCTGGTGTTATCTGGGGTCCTAGAATTGTGTAGCACAAATGGGTTTATACAAGAACCGAGAAACTTTGTCCATGGATGGAGCTTGACTTGTGAGACAGATATAACAGTGGGCAGTGGCTTCTTCCGAGGAAGACAGCTCATGGGTCCAGACTCAGGTTCACCCACAATTGAAGTTTATGTAGCAGGGTCGTTCTCAGGCACACCCATCATATTGACTAAGACTTTGCAGATTAGTTCCCGCAAGAAGCACTCCAGGAATGGGATGCTAGATGCGATTCCAGAGTATGAGTCAACCGAGTCTCAGAAAGATGTTGCTTCTGTGCTTCCTTTGCAGGTATGCTATTGTGAAGTATTTAGCATTGTAGGCGTGCCCATAAACTGTTGATGTTTGATGCTGATCAAAATATCAAAGAGATCTCTGTTTTTTGGCACACTTCCACTATTTAATGTGAACACAACAGAAAACCCTTGTCCCCTGCTTGTAACCATTTCAAGCTTTAGACAGCTTTTGGGATGGCTTTGTGTGTTCAGGTTGTTAATAGGTTGGTTCGTTTTACAGGACTCCTTTCAGAGTCTTGGTATGTTATTCTCTCTGTGAAAAGACAAGAAGAAGTACATGGAATTTTGCACCCTGAAATTCTGAAGATGAAAGAATGACAGTTCCCCTTTACTTCTGCTAGGATTAGAAAAGATCAGCACTCGCTGTACATTAATGATATTATCACAGGATTTCAATCGGTTGACATTGACAAATTGATTACTGAATAACCACTTCTATCTAGTAACAGATGTATGTCACTATGGGTGCTCCAGATCAGTTTTTCCAGAGAGTACTATCCACTGGCATATTAATACCATGATTTTAGGGACGCCAAGATTGGATGAAAGAGGTCTCGCTGTTTTGTGATTGCTATCTAAACCTAGGTTTGACTTCAACCATTTTTTATATTTTGTATTTGTTGGCCTGAGAGTACAAGACTTCTGAAGGGAAAAAACTGCCATTTTGTTTGCAATTCTTATTGTTAACTCTGATTGGCCAAAACATTTTGATATGACAGTTTTTAATTCATCTAGGAAATCTTCTAGGGGGCATTGACTCCTTCGGGATCGAGTCACTCCAGTGGGAGCAATAATATATATAGTATGTTGTGTAGTGATGAATTTGACCTGCTGGAACTAGTTGATCTTCTATTTTTAACTTCTAGGTGATATGTGATTCTTGTTGGTCCCTTGTTCCGATGATTTGCTCGGGATATGACTTATTTCACTCATGAGCTCTTTGAGTGTTCCATGTATGATTTGATACTCTGATCCTATAGGTTACTTGTGAACAGACAGCTCTTTGAGTGTTCCATGTATGATTTGATACTCTGATCCTATAGGTTACTTGTGAACAGACATGGCGGTTGAGATTATGGCCGTGGGTCCTTACCTCTAGTTATTCCCTAAAATCAATCGTTGGCACCATGTGTATTTGAATTTGCTCATTCACTGTTGTCCTTCAGAAATCAAGTACCATATGCAATTCACGTGATCGCCGATTGCTTCGCAATACTTCTCATTTTCTCTTATTGGTTTCTCTACCTTTCGATGACATTATGTCCTTGCAGATGGAGGAGTACCCATACTCGGACCACAAACCGGAATGCGAGGAATATGACCACCACCTGTACTCAGGTTCAGAATACTTAGAGGGAGAAGATGGAGAGCTCTCATGGTTCAATGCAGGTGTGAGGGTGGGCGTTGGGATTGGTCTTAGCGTTTGTCTTGGGGTCGGATTAGGAGTTGGATTGCTCATTCGAACTTATCAAGGAACGGCCCGCACCTTCAGGAGGAGGCTACTCTGAATTCACCTCGGTGCCATACAAGATGCCATGCAGGATGATCTCCAGTGATTTTGTTCGCTCCTCGCAATGTCAAGCATCCACTCTGCCTGCAATTTCAGATATTCCAGCTCGACTTGCGGTTCCTGGCTTTACTCGGTTTGCAACATGTTTCCTGGAGAAAAGATGAGTTGCGCCGTCCAACACGGGCAACACGCAGTATCCATCACATAATTTTGTAGAAATGAGTTGCCTCGTGTTTTAGAGATCCTCTCAATGTATCGATCGTCAAATTGGCACTGTGAAGATTTTAGCGTTGCTCTATCGTACACGATTACCTACAATAATCATTCTGGAATAATTTGTCTCAATGACCGAGTCCTCTATACTGTTTTAACTCGGTTCACAGCAATTTTCCCTTTTACGGCCACATATTGCCCTTGCCGATCACAATCAGAATGTCCTCCACAAGCAGTTCTGGAGTCAATCCTATTAGCCTAATGATCAAGACAAGACTATAAACACCTAAAATGACCATGCACAGAATGAAGACTGACCTCCGACCACTGCCTCGTCAAAGTAAACCCGGGTGTGGCACTCCACTCAGGTTCTTCAACATAAAAAGAGATGAACAAATAAAGCACGAGAAACTGCATTTAATTCCAACTTCAGCCCTGTTTCCCGAACAAGATGCGAGTCTCGCAAGTACCAAGCACATTCAACTCTATGAACAGCATAGCAATATGTACAATCTATATCACACGAACCCACAAGACATTGCAGCAATGGCAACACGAGCGGCGAGAATCCGCTAATTCCCATGTTATTTCTAGTCTCGTTTGCTTTCGAGATCCATAGTCATGCATGCTACCGTGGATTCTCTGGAGGTACGGTTCGACTCGCCCGGCGGAACCACGTGTTGAAGGCTGTGACCAAGTGAGGGCAATCGTCGGTACTACGAGTAGAGAAGCTGAGGCATTTTTGCAGTAACAACTGCGCATCAGACATGGGCAGCGTCGAAATTATCGACAAGAATGTTTCCTCCAGATCTGAGTACAGAGACTTTGGACTGCCAAGCGTAGCCAAACCACTGTCCTTGCACACAATTACAACCGGAAGCCAATCTTCTACAAGCTTCGTCCGGACCTGTAGTGAAACAAGACCAATGGGCATAAGATCTAAGCCATGCACGAAGATGTGTTGATTTGTTGCAGCGAAGTTGAATTTGATAACAGGGATTTTAAGTTGAAAGTCAATTCTGATATTACCTAACATGCAGAGACATGATAAGAGACGCAGGTTTCTCGCCTTTAAAAAGAAAACAAGTATCTGTGATGTCGTCTTTTAACTAGATTTTCAAACTCAGTGAACTAACAAAAAACTGGCATCCCTAACCAGCTGTCGTCGTTTGAATCTCGCGTGTAAGAAAATGTTTACAAGAGTTGTAGTATGCCATTGTTCTTTGTCACAGAAGATAAAGAAACAAGTACCTTCAAACAATACTAAAGAAACTCCCCGTAGAGGCTCATTCCGACAACCAACTACCAAGAGGTTCATGGTATCTTCTTCAGAAGTTCTATCAAATATCCGGAGGTTTTAAGAGACAGAGAAGGCTGGGACATGGACAAGGGGGCAGCGCCCAGTAAAATCTTGTTCAGCAACCAATGCCTCAAGACAATCCATTTAAGATTATGTATCCATTAGCTGTGGGGTCGACTGATTTTTTAAACAAATTGCCCACCCATAAAGCCACTATCAATCCTATGGCTAAGCTTCGACACTATTGAACAGTAACGATTATCTGACCCCGACAACAGTAGCTACACCCATCCAGTAGAAACCGGATGTCAAACAGAAAGGTTATGCATCGAAACCTTATTGGACTACCGAACTATCCTCTGTCACAATAGGGAGACATCAGAGAGCCTAAAAACCACAACCGAAAGCCACAAACATTACTAATTGCCATCTCAACATACTACCACTACGCACTAGAGAAAATTCAGCCAGATTCTAAGGAAAGACAGAGACATATTTATCAATCAATCGAAGAATTTCCTTGAACCCACTTCCCCAGTTGAAGAAGGTTACTTTTTGATGAGCAAAACAAGACGAGCAATTTGAATCCCCATAAAAATACTACAAATTCTAGCAATGCAAAATGAGATTTGACAAACCTGCCTAGCAGCCAGGATATTGCCGGCAGCAATCGCTTGAGCAAGCTTCAATGTGCATCGCATCATCACAGCCGGGAAGCCTGGCACGATGTACCTCCACGAATCATCCCTGAAAGCCTTCTGCAAATCGGCCGTGAAATTTGGCTGCTCACTCCACTCCTTGGCTGCGGCCTCCGCCACTCGCAACTCGATCATCCTCTCCACCAACCACAGCAAATGCCTCCCATACGTAGTCGCCTTGTGCAAGTTCAGCCTCTGTATGGCCTCCGTCTCGTCATGATCCTCTCTGAAGTCCGGACTCGAATACTCCTCCAACGACTCCTTCACGACCTTAAGCCACTCCGTGAACGCTCTCTCGAGAACTCTCCGTGCCACGTCGCGGTTGGAGATCTCCCTCAGGATCTTCGCGACGAGGGCCTTGGAGGAGGCCACGTTCGCCTGGTTGTTGAACGCGGTCTGGATCAATCCGAAGAGCATTTCATCGCAGGAATCCTTGTTTTCCGGCGAAACCCTAGCGAGGAGTTCGCTCGATTCCTCGTCTTTGAGGAACGGGGTGAGGTTCATGACCCTGGATTCTTCCTCCTCGGTCCACGGCACGGCTTCGAGAAACTTGACGCAGGATTTGACGCAGTCCTCGAAGAGCAATTCCAGGGCGATAGGGAGGAGATCGAGAGCGGTGGAAGCGGAGGTGATCGCCAAGGAAAAGTCATCCGTGTAGAGGAGGCTGAGGACGGTCACGTACGCGTCGACCGGGCAGGACACGGCGAGGTTGTAGCGGAGGACGTCGGCCGAGGGGGAGGAGGAATCGCGGCTCTGCCACCGGCCGGAGAGGAGAGCGTCGAAGTATTGGGAACGGTGGAGGACGGAGGAGTGGAGGTAGATCTGTACGGCATCGGAGTGTTTCGAGTCCAAGCTGGAGGAAGAGGAAGACTCCCCGGCGTCGAGCGGCGAGGTCCGGGGGTTGAGGCTGAGGATGACGTCGGCGGTGGAAGAATCGTTGAAGGACGGAGAGGGCGACGCGGCGGGCGCGGGAGCGCCGGAGGTGAAGGAGGAGGTGGAGGAGACGCGCCTGATGGCGGAGGGGGAGGCGGGACCGGCGCCGGCGCCGGCGCCGGAGGGGGAGGCGGGACCAGCGCCGGCGCCGGAGGCGGAGGCGGAGGCGGAGGCGGCGGCCGACGAATTGCGGTGTCGCTTCCTAGCGTTGGTGGCCGGCGCCATGTGCGGGCGTCGTGTGTGCGCGCGGGGGAGAGTGAATCAAAAGCTGCAATGCGATGTCATTGATTGAAGGTCGGTTGGTGGAGATAGGTAGAGATGAAATGACGAAGATTAAAAAAAGAAAAAACCAGCCAATGGGTGGACACGTGGCAAAAAGAGACAAGCAGGGTTTCGTTTTTTGTAATAAATTTCTTCTCTAACAAGATCTTAGGAACCTCCCTACGCACACGCGATCTACCTTATCCTTAAATGTCACGTACATGTCGACACAACGACGAATGACACGAATAATTTCTAAATTTTAATTATTATGTAATATAATTTCTTAATTTTTTAATTTATTTTTAGTACATGCTCAAATTAATCCCGAAATTATATGAAAATTTTCAATATAATTATTGAACTAACGTCAATGGAAGGACAACATTAAACATCTTCAAACAGTTCAGGAACTAATTTAAATATGTACAAAAAGTTAAAGGGTCACATTAAAAGTCAAGAGACCATATTGCATATTTGATTAAATTTATGCCATTTTCCGTCGAAACAACTTTTTTTTTTCTTTTGTTTTGTGTCTTTTGCTACGACGAGTATTCTTATGCCCGAATTATCATATCCGTTCGCTAATAAGAAATGCTCGTTAATGGTGCTAATGGAATAGATCAGTGATTAGCGATAATCCTGGGGATACGACAAGACCATAACCATAAGCATGTTGCATGAGCCAACAAATCCACACTATGTCCTTAGCTGCTGAATTTTTTAGTTGAAAACAAAAATTATAAGATAACGCAAGTCTGGTGAAATTTGTGAATTTAGCGGAGCGTTATGGGCCTAGCCCATCTGATGTTCTTCCTCTGGGCTATGACCCATATGCTCGTTCGACCTTGTATGGGTCGGTGCGGTATCTCGCATCTTCCTAATCGTCATTAACGCCCATGAAAGCTTGCTTGAACGCTTCATAGGGTGGATTATTTTCTACCAATCCGGTGGTTGGTCGGGCGGTCCACGGCTTAATTTGCAAGAAATTAAACTTAGGAAGATGCTCTTATGAGGTCCTATTGTTTCGAATTGGCGTGTAGTCATCGCTCGCGACAGTGTATTTGCTATGTCAATGTTCTATATAATTTCCTAAATGAAAGTTGTCCAATTTGCGGAGAACGAGAGGTTCATGGCGATGTCATCCCATGGTTACATCCACCTTGTGCGATCGCATTACGTACTTGTACGCGCGAGTCATGGCTGGAAAAGTTTTGTCGTCTTCGGTTCTATTTGTTTCGTGGAAAATGAATAATTCGGAAAATATTCTCCTAAAAAACGGTCGCTTATATCGTTTGAAACAGTTGACCGATGAAAAATATTTTCATTATCGATAACAATACACATGTAAATATTTTCGTGGACAATAAAAATATTTTTCATTCGTTCATTTTATGAGCGATACAAGTCATCGTTTTTATGAAAATATATTTTAAATCGATTATTTTCCGCAAAATAAACGCAACCTCAGTTCTCGAAAGGATCGATGATGGTGCATCGAGGATTCAAGCCTTTTTAGCCTAAGAAGACCGCAAAGGAAAAGGTAAATTTCTGCGTGGATGGCGTGATGGGTGGAGACTCGTGTTTTTGGGGCTTGAAGATGGAAAAACGAACTGCTTTATATGAAGGGACCCCAAAAGAGAGGGGAAAATGATTACTGCAGTGTAGACTCGTCGTGGGTGGCCAGGATCCATGGCACGAATCATGGGCAAAATGCAAGACCAAGTTAAGGCTGTCTCCTGAGATTGAGTAACGATACGCTATTTGTAAAGTGAAAAAAAAAAAAATGCTAGGAGGACCGGGTGCATATGCCATGAATCCATCTTAATTGTCGGATTTTGGTGATGGTGTGTATATATTTAGCGATACCCACCGACTTGAATGGGCACGTGAACTCGGTATGCACACAACAGACATATTCAATAATGACTCGGTCAGATGGTCATTATAATTATGAGTGTAAATGGTTTGGTTCGGTTTAGATTTTCTGAAAATCCAAACCGAACTGAACCGTTGAGATGTGAGCTTGCTATGAACCAAACTGTGATCCAAACCAAATACAAATCGAATCGAAAAATCTAGTTCGATTCCGATTTTCGATTTTTTTGCTTTTCGTCTTTATACTATAGTCAAACTCGCTTTCCTTTTTGAAAAAGAAAGAGAAAATCGTTTTCCTTCTTTTTCTTTTCTTTTTATCCTTCTCTGCAAGATGTCTCTCTCGTGTCGTCTTCTTCTCCATTCAGCTCTCTAAAACGCGACTCACTCTCTCCCACTCCATACCCCACCATCAGGTCCACCACCAACACCCATCCTCCCTCACCTTCCCAGTTTCCCAAACCTTCTTCTATCCGCCTCTTTCCCAAGTCCCACCACCACCTCCATGTCCTCTCGGCATCCCCAGGCAGCCCCGACTACAGCCTCGAGGAGTCCCGCTGGCTCCGGGAGGAACAATGGTGGCTGTGCGAGGAGCAGCGGCGGTTCCCACGAGGAGCAGAGGTGGGCCCATGAGAAGGAGTCCCTCCTTGGCGAGATCGCCAGGTTGAAGCTCCAGATTCAAGCCCTAGAGTGCGAAATTCAGATTCTGGGAGCCGATTATGGGGAGGTGGCGAACGTTACCGCACTGTTGCAGGAGAGGAATTTGATCGTGGAGAGAGAGGGTTGAGTGCGAGTCCGATGCTGCTGGAGGAGAAAGAGGGAGGAGGCGATGGACGAGAAGGAGATTGTAGCGGGGGAGAGTTGATACGGTATTGAAAGATGAAACTATTTGGTTCGATTCGGATTATAAACCGAACCGAATCGAAACTATCCAAACCGGCAAAAAAGAATGGTTCGTTTTTCATTATTCAAATTGAGAACCAAATCGAACCGAAATGCATAAAATTTTCGGTTAGGTTGGGTTTTTCGATTCAGTTTTGACACTGCCAACATTTGAAATTTAGTTAGTAACGACGGCGATCGCTCGAGAATTGCAATCACAAATACGCATACATATTTTTGGAGGAGGGACCGGCACACGGCAGCTCCGATGCATGAGGTTATTGGTCATCGCGATGAGATCTAACTTTTGATATAAAACAGCGAGAGAGTGGATATCTTCGGTGACCACCATTTGGGTGGTTGCCTGTGAATTGCAATCATTACGATGGTGGTTGTGTGGGAGTGGTGCCACCAGGTACTGATCGCAAGCAACAACAGCATACCTAGGCTTTGAATATTTCATCCAAAGTTTGTGCGACGACCTTATATGGTCCGATGTGGGACACGTAGAAAAGGATAAATACTCTATCACCCCCCCTCCTTCGCATGTCCAGGCTATCAAGAGGCCTACACTCAAAATCAAAACCTTATATTTAAGTAAGCTCTCAGTAACTTGATTTACAAAAACAATTCACAAAGCGACGTACTGGGTTCAACAGCCACTTGTATAATTCGACGCATCTCTCTAAGCAAATTAATTCCTCGGACCGATCTTCACGAATCTAAAATTTCTGAAAAAAGAAGAAGAAAAGGACTATATAATAGTCTTTGGCCTTATCCTTTTGGCGGCAATGGTGGCAATTGAGTCCATCGTCCAAAGGGCCGTTCTAGTCGCGTGTTATCAAAAGATACGTTATCCCGTCCTGGCCAAAAAAGAAGATAGGATTAAAATAAAGAGGAAGGACCGTTACGTTTGTCCCTGTTCGGTTCTGATCGCTGATGATGTCTTATCGGTTCGGCCGCAGCAATCGAAGGACCTCTCTCCGGCTTCATCAGTTCGGCCGCATCAGCGGCAACCCTCGAACTAATGATTCGTTCGGCAGTTGGGGAGCTTGCCTCTTCAATGCCCCCCACGCTCTCCAATCTCATTAAATTTCAGTGACCCCAAATGCCCGTGAAATTTTCTTCAAATCCGCAGTCACGCGCGTGCCCACCTCCTCTGAAAATCCCATGCACAGACCGACACGGTCAGCTAGCATTACTAGGTAAGAAATTAATTGAGAAGCGCGGGCACGGCCACGGACAAATGGGAATGTGAACCGACAGGGCGATGTAGTTCGAGCGCCTCCGCTCTTAGCAATTCTTTTACCGGGTTCTCGCATCGTCGGTTCGGTATCGATCGGAGAGAGGCTGCGCGCCTATCGGCCGAAGCAGTTCAACACGGGCTACGCTAGAAAATGCAAAGATCGGTTGACGAAGTTTGTTTAAATTTCTTGTCATCTTTGCATGGTGTGAAAGCGAATCAGAACAATCCGTTCTAATCGCCTAGCTCTTGGACTTGACCAGCCTAAAAGGACAAGAATGATTGAGTTAAGGAAAATGTCCCCGTAAGAATTTGGTGCGGTTACCGAGGACAGCGAGCGAGGTGGGGTGGATTACTTAGCAAATTCGAATTAGTTGGGAGGTAAACGTTGGACGCTCACTTCGAACTGGTCGTGACAAGGGACATTCTTGAAGGGAGGGAGGTTCGTGTCGGGCATGATTTGGTGGCAAGTTTTGCGCTCTACGTCAGAGGGGGTCGATTGAGCTATCTTGACGAAACGGTGTCTTTTCTTTCAGCATCCGACGCTTTTACCCTCTCGTCGGCTACTGAGTAAGGGCTTCGCGGTGCTCGCGAGGTCTAGGCGAGGGCTGCGACCTGTGCCCGCGGTCGACGAGAGTTGGCCAGTGGCCCTCGCCGGGGCTTGGAAGGAAAAAAAAAAAGAAGGAAGAGAAAAGGAAAATGAAGAAAAAGATAACTAAGAAAATAAAAAAAAAATATTATTAAAAATCGTTTTATGTCAGCGTCTGCTGTGTCACGTAAGACAGTCGACATCAACATCAGCAATTTCTTACTGAAATTGATCGGATGGATTCAATTGGCAAAATGTGAGAATGTTTATGATTCAATTGGCCAAATTAAAAGTTTTAAGACCGAATGGGTAAAAAGTACAATCAAAATAGATTTAAGATTTGGTTGGACAATTTTTCCGTCGATAACATCGTATACAAATCCAGCTCTTTGAAAGCCCAAAAGCACAAGTGACTGAAAAATTATATACAAGAGCTTTCACTTCTGAAGTGCCGAAAACGGTCAATTTCGAGTACCCAAGGTTTCATATCACGTCGGGTTTCCCCGCAATGCGACGGGTGATGACCTGAAAAGCTTTCTCTCGAAAGGCAGTGCAAAATTTTCTTGCCGAGCAGAGCTTTCACTTCCGAAATGTCGAAAACGGTCGATTTCGAGTACGCGAGGTTTCGTATCGCGTCGGGTCTCCGCGCAACGCGACGGGCGATGAATCGAAGAGGCTTTCACCCGAAAGAGACGGTGGTGTTTTCTTGCCGAGGGTGGTGCTAATGAGGACAAAGATTCACCAAACTCGAATAAAAGAACTAGAACGCTAAACAGCGAAGGAAAAGTGTTGTTTAACTGCGCTCAAGAAAAGCGAATCTCACCTTCTTCTTGTCTCCTTCAGCTTTCTGAGTGCAGTCAATTCAGCGCTCAAACAAACGGCACCCATCGCCAAATGTCAAAAATGCCCTCGACCCCAATTATCTATCGATTTAGACATAATTTATTATCCCTGAATTTTTGCTAAATGTGCAATATGATCTCTAAACCTTTAATTTATTCAATACGGCCCCCGAACTTTTAATTTATTCAGTATGATTTCTGAAATTTTGGTAAACGTTCAATTTAATTTATGGACTATATAAAAATGTGCAATGTTAGCATTCAATTAATTTAAGTTTAGAAATAACATTAAACATTTTTCATATAGTCTCATGACTAAGTTGAATATTTACTAAAAATTCAGGAATCACGTTACACATTAAATTAAAATTTATAGACTATATTGAACAAATAAAATATTTAAAGACCGCGTTCGTGTCATTTTCCCATCAATTTATCATCGCCATCCATACATGAGAAGCAAGCAAGAAGTCGGTCACCCAACGCGATGGCAATTTCGTAATAAGACTGCCAAGCGAGGCTATTAACAACGGACTCGCAGCTCCTTCGGTCCCTCACTCTCTTTCCTTTTTCCTTTGTTTCCGTTAGAAGGTACTGTGTACTGTGCTGCTGCGCTCTCTCTCTTTCTCGCTCGTTCTTCTCCAATTCCTCACGCATTCACGTACTCTCTGTGTCAGTCAGCCTCTTCTCCAGCTCCCTCGCACCCTCGCTCCGCTGCGAAGCATGGCGGTTTCCGGCGAGCACCGGCCTCCCGGCGGCCCCCTCCCCGGCGAGCGCGCCTCCGGGGCTCCCTTCCTCAGCCTCAAGCTCTACGTCCTCATCGGCATCCTCGCCCTCTGCGCGCTCTCCGTCGCCCTCCTCGTGTACCTCTGCGTCCGCCTCGGCCGGGCCTCGAAGAAGCGCAGGGCGCTGGGCAAGAACAGCTCCGGGCTGATCCCGTTGGTCTCCAAGGAGATCGTGGAGATCAGCGCGGTGGATCGAGCCGGCAGGTGCGGCGGAGGCGCGGGGAAAGTCGATAGCGTCGTCGTGGTGGAGTTCAAAGGGGAGAAGAAGCGAGGGGACGCTGAGATCGCGAGCGGGAGCGGGAGCGGGGACGGAGGGAAGAAGAGCGGAGAGAGCGACGGCGTTTCGAGCGGGAGCAGGAGCGACGTGGCGGCGGCCGAGGTGCATGCGAACATCGGTTGGGGGCGTTGGTACAGCTTGAGGGAGCTGGAGGTCGCCACGTGCGGGTTCGCGGCGGAGAATGTGATCGGGGAAGGAGGTTACGGAGTTGTGTACAGAGGGGTCCTGGATGATGGCGCCGTCGTTGCCGTGAAGAGCCTTCTCGACAACAAGTACGCTAAAGTTAAAACCTTGCCTGCTTTGAAACTGCTCTATTTCAGGAGCATTTAAGTGCGCTAGTACAGCGATATGAAAAGGCAAATCCATATTTAATCTCTTCTTCTGTTGCGGGTCTCCGGTCATGATGGTTCACCGACCGACTGGGTTAATAATGTCTAGTAAAAGACGATCTGGATCATCCCTGAAAGCCTCAATTTGAATCGTATGCGTGTCCTCTGGATCCGGAGAGGTTTTTTTCCATGTGTCGGTGGAGGCTTGGGAGTGTTTCTCCGTCAGTCAGGGCTTAGGAGCGTTTGGCAAAGTAGATGGTTGCTTTGTTCTTTATTCTCTCTTTTGTTATTTCCGTCACTACTTTCGCTTTCTCTTCTTTTCATCACCACCATCTTTCTGATCTCGGCAATTCGACTTTTCTTTCCTTTCTCCAAGTAACTGTGGGGGGAGCGTACTCATTCACATTCTGAAAATGGAAGTAGCAACATCAAGGATGGCATCGTTATTCATTTGTGATTTCTCACGAAGCCATTGCTTTTGTTTTTTCCCTATGCAATGCATGTCTGTTGTTTCTGAACAGTAGATATGAAATGTCATTTGACAAGCTGCTAAAACAAGTACAAAGCAGGAGGCCCGTCAAGGGATGAGAAATTGACTGTTTACATCAGTAGATGTGAAATGTCATTTGACAAGCTGCTAAAACAAGTACAAAGCAGGAGGACCATCAAGGGATGAGAAATTGACTGTTTACATTGGTTATCGATATATCTCAGGGGTCAGGCAGAGAAAGAGTTTAAGGTGGAGGTAGAAGCAATTGGGAAAGTAAGACACAAGAATTTGGTAGGTCTGATTGGCTATTGTGCAGAGGGGGCTAAAAGGTACTTCTATACTTATTTCACATGTTCTTTCTCCCATGATTTCCATTCCTAAATGAGTTTCGACAAAGGTAGCACCTCATGTTGCGTTCCGGATTATGCCTGTACAGAATCCTGGTTTATGAATATGTGGACAACGGCAATTTGGAGCAGTGGTTACATGGTGATGTTGGGTCGGTTAGCCCTCTGACCTGGGATATTCGAATGAAGATCGCTATTGGAACAGCAAAAGGGTATGATTTCGTTGCCATCTTTTGCTATCGGCTTCATCTTGTTTGCGTACATAACTTATGGAAATTCGAAATAATTTCGGTTTCATTCTTCACGTCTGATCTGGTTTTCTGGAGTTAGAATGTCAGCTTTCCGCCATATAACTTTAGTTTGACTTTCTTGGCTCTTAATTTTTCGTCATAGAGGTACTTCCCTTCTTCCATCTATATGCTTATCACGAGTTTGAAAATATGAAAAGACTAGTTTAAGCAAAGCTCTCAAGTCTTTGATATGAACTACCCTTCTCTGTAACCAAAAGACACCAAGAGGCCCACAGGGACCAGAAAATTTTTCAAAATGTAGATGTACTTTGGACCGTGTTGCTCGACTCAATTGACACCATTGTATCATCAGGAGTCCTAATAAAATTTCTTTCTCAGATAAATAAACCTCCTAGAGTTTCAAATCTTGATGTTCATTTTTATAGATCAGCCTTCATTTCGAACCAAATTCTTGATTAAATTTATTCAACTTTGCAGGCTAGCATATTTGCACGAAGGTTTGGAACCCAAAGTAGTGCATCGAGATGTAAAGTCCAGCAACATTCTCCTAACTAGAAAATGGAACCCAAAAGTATCAGATTTTGGATTGGCAAAGCTTTTAGGACCCGAGGCAAGTTATGTGACTACACGCGTAATGGGCACCTTCGGGTCAGTTGTTTGTTGGTTTTGTCCGAGTGATTTCAATTTATTTTGAATCCATCTATGTCAGTTAGGTAACAAACTGCTATTGATTGCTTTGGCTACAGCTATGTCTCTCCTGACTATGCTAGTACAGGCATGCTGAATGAAGGGAGCGACGTGTACAGTTTTGGAGTTCTGCTCATGGAGCTCATTACTGGAAGGAGTCCTGTTGACTATTCTAGACCAGCCGGAGAGGTGAATACAGAGCCATGCTCTGTTGCCGCTGCTGCAATTTATATATTGTTGATCATAATTTTTTTTTAACAGCCTAAACTCAGCCTCTGCTGAATATTTTTCAGATGAATTTGGTGGACTGGTTTAGAGGAATGGTGGCAAGTCGTCGAGGAGAAGAAATTGTGGATCCACTTATTGCGGATCCACCATCTCAGAGAGCTTTAAAGCGCGCGATATTAGTTTGCCTGCGCTGTGTAGACTTGGATTCTATTAAGAGGCCGAAGATGGGGCAAATTGTTCACATGCTTGAGGCAGATGATTTCCCTTTTCGTGCTGTAAGTTTGTTTCTACATATTAGCAGAGCTACCATACCATGGACTTCGTAGTTGCCTTTTTAACATTCTAGGTCTTCAGTTGAAAGGGCTCATCAAAGATAGTTGTACCTGAGATGCATCATTACCCTCTGTTGAACAATAGTTAGTCGTGCCGGAAATGCCTTTGCAAATGATTGTAGAAGATTCAATTGTCATGTGAAAACTTGCCGGATATAGCTCATTTGCTGCTGCAGAGTCGAAGATGTTTTATACATTCAGCGTGTGGATAAGCTCTTCAGGCTGTGTTAATCATCATTTTCAATTTTCTTATTTAAATTATTTGCGAGATTTCATTCTTTGCATGATAATTTGCTTGTCAGATGAGCTGCAGTATAGGATACTTTTATCCCCTTGATTCCTTCGTAATGTTTTGATTGAACTGTAATTGTTCTTTTTCATGTTCTACAGCAACAGAGATTGGCTGAAGAGAGAGATTGTCTCGCAGTGCAGGAAGCTCAGCTGAATAGAATTCCGAAAGTCCCAAGGCCACGCAAGCATGCTGGAGCTGGTGATGCGGAGAGATGAAAGAAGGTGGCATGGCGACACTTGCAGCGACCCTGAGAGTACAGTGTGATAGTAGCCGAGGTCAGAATATTTGTGATATAACATTCCACTTGGGTAAACAGGGAAGAAAATGAAGCCGCGGATGAGCTTATTATATCTCCCTTCTCATATTGTTTCATTCTAGATCACATAGTTTTTTCGTATGTAATGATGAGGCAGATTCATAAACGATCCCTGTAAATATATGCAAGTATATCTGGAGTATCGGAAGGACTTTTTCTTAAATCGTTTACTGACAGAGAAAAAAAAAAAAGAAAATCATCCAATTTCACAGTTTAGAATGGTAAAGCTAAAAAAATATTGGTGTTAAATGATTTCACAGTTTATTTAAGTCAAACCAACATTTATGGCTCCTTGGACGGTTTCAAGTTTAGAGAAGTCCTGGTGGGCCCTCAAGATGCGCCTAGCTTCACCTTAATTAAAAATATCAAGACGGTTTTTTTTTTCCCCATTATTTTTTATTCTCATCAATCTAGTAAGTTTCCTTTCTTAGTTATTGATATATCTATCCTTAATTGCATTAGGCATTGTTATTTTTATGTAATATTCTAATATTAGATCTTGTCATTGCAATCCATGGTCATTATAAACCATCTTCTTCAATATCTTACATTCCATTTGATTAAAATTTCAATTCCTTCGCGTTATTTATTGCTGTAATTTTATAAATTCACTACCTAGTACCAACTTTATCTTATTTTTTATTGTGAATCAATACAAAAATTAAAAATTTTATGCAATGTCGAAAGGCAGTTCTTTAGCATCTTACAATCGAAATAACAATTTTATCCAAATAACATATACACATGAAAAGTTAAAGTAGGTTTATTTCAATGGATATGGATTTCCATAAGTTGGATTAAATATGAAAATATTTTAGCAAATAGGTCGAATATGGTATGCGTCGAGTCGGGTGCGAGTCACTAAATATGTATCGCATATAAATGGGCCATTTGACTGCCCTACTCACTACACGTGTGTTCAAAATCAATTTTCAATTCAGCTTCAAGCTCGATCTGCCCAGCCGTATGTCGGTGGTTCCATCATGAGCCATTATTGGGCTTCACCCCCCACGCCTCCAGTCACTCGGGCCGACCTTCCTTATCCTTCCCCACTTCCTCGTGCTCGCTTGCCAGGCACGTCAGGCACACAAGCCACGGCACTCCACATCATTCAAACTAGAAAATTGCCCATGATGACCCCAAGTGGGCAACAAATCATCAAGATTCACTCACCAATTAACCCCGTAATCAAGTCAACGTAATCTAAACTTGGATTGCCATTACTCACTTGCCAACGTAGGATTATTTCTCCAATTTAGGAAACCTTTATCAATTGTCTCTGTTTTCGTCTTAAAGCATCCTCCTTAGTTCTTTCCATTTCTCTCTCATTTTCCCCTAAGGACAAACCATTTTATGGCTCGTTCAACTGGTGACAAGTATTTACTGATAGACATGCGGTCTTACTGGTAAAGGGATTGGAGGGGTGAGAACGGTACTATCACAGGTGTCCGGGTTCGACTTTCACGCTCTGTAAGAAGCATGACAATAGTTTCAAAATGAGGAGAGTCAGTGATATGAATAAAAAAAAGGAAAAATACCACAAAAAACTCCAAACTATGTCACTTGTGACACATTTACCCTGAAATTTTTTTTGTGATATGAAAAACCCCAAACTATGCCACTTGTGATAAATTTACCCTTAATTTTTTTTTATGACACGAAAAACCCAAAATTATTCCACTTGTGACATATTTACCCTGAACTTTTTTTTGTGACATGAAAAACCCCAAACTATGCCACTTGTGACAAATTTACCCTGAACTTTTTTTTATGACACGAAAAACCCAAAATTATGCCACTTGTGACACATTTACTCCATAATACTTTGATCTATGAGCATTTTTTTCTTTTATCTTTTTTCCTTTTTTCTTTTTTTTTCCTTTCTTCTCCGGCCGAGGGAAGCTGGCAAGGGCGGTCTTTGCCGGCGGTGGGTGGGGCGAGGGCTGCCCTCGCCGGAGTCTGGCGAGGGCGACCCTGGCCAGCGTCGGGCGAGGGTCATCCTCGCCAGATCCGGCGAGGGCAACCCTCCCCCGCCCAGGTGTGGGCGACCCTCGCCCGACGCCGGCGAGGGTTGCCCTCGCCCAATCCGGCGAGGGCAGCCCTCGCCCAACCTACCACCGGTGAGGACAACCCTCGCCGGCTTCCCTTCGCCGGAGAAGAAAGGGAAAAAAAAGGAAAAAACAAAAGGAAAAAAGACGAAAATGCCCATGGGTCAAAGTATTGTGGGGGTAAATGTGTCACATGCAGCATAGTTTGGGGTTTTTCGTGTCACAAAAAAAGTTCAGGGTAAATGTGTCACAAGTGACATAGTTTAGGGTTTTTGGTGGTATTTTTCCAAAAAAAAAATACTGGTGACAAGTATTTCGACCAAATTCCGACAAAAAAAAAGTATTTCGACAAAAAAAAACTGGTGACAACTATAATTTCCTCGACAAAATAAACCGCCAAATTCTCAGGTGCGGACACGTGTCCCCTTATTACGCTAAAGACCGCGCAAAACCTGAGGGAATTTCATTCACTATTCGCTTACTTTCGGCGATTTTGGAACAAGGCACAAACAGGGGAGCACCAAAAGAACATTCTCTCCCAAGACGACGACGCGCCCCTTATATAAACTCACAACCACCACCATAGCCATCCCTTTTCTCTCCTCAGATCCAACCCATTTCCATCCAGAGAAGACCCGGGAGATAGCGAATTCGTGTACGGAGATAGATCTATAAACGTTTCCGGAGCTGAGCTCTCTTCTGAGTTCCCGTCCGGGGATGGAGGAGAAGCTGATACAGCGGTTGGAAGCGGCGGTCGCGCGCTTGGAGGCGGTGTCCGCCGCCCCAGGCGTCTCCTCCGCGGGCGGGGACGACGCGTCGGTCGCCGCGACGGATCCGGCGATCCTGGCCTTCGACGATCTGATGGCGCAGTACGTGGCTAGGGTTTCGAGCGCGGCGGAGAAGATTGGGGGCCGGGTGTTGGACGTCACCAATGTTCTGCGGGAAGCTTTCGGCGTCCAGAAGGAGCTGCTCATCCAAATCAAGCAGACGCAGGTGAGTTCGATGTGGGTTGCGGAGGATCTTTTGGGCCCGTATTGTGCTTTGTGAGCTAAGGATTGGTGATCAGTTGTCTCTTTCTCTTTCTGAATGTCGCTGTCCATTTCTGCAATCCATTGTTGACGTCAGGTTTGAGTGGCCGTTTTTGTGGTTGTTGGCCGTAGATGGAGCTCGCGTAACTTGCTCAATTGAAACTCGTAGAACGTGGCTAGTGATATGCTTAGATCTCTTACGTTGGGTTCGTTAACGGCTTTGCTGGCGCTGAAGCACTTAGTTGTCCTGCATTGCCTCATATGTATTGGGTATAAGTGGCCTTTCGCCTCTCTGTTATTATTAACGCTATATATATTCTCGATTTTCAGCGGGAGGAGAATCTAATCTTTTTTTCACTCATAATGAAACCTCTTTCCTTCGAGTTAGTTTCAATTGGTTGGGCAAAGACAAAGATTGTTTCGCTTGTTTGACTAATACCTCGCACTTTCAATTTCAAATCTGGGATTTACGATGTTGCCTGTCACTATTCATAACGAATCTCAATCATTTTATGTTTAGATTGAGGCAGGATCTGGGGTTAGATAATAAGAATTGGGTAGTATGAAATGCTCAATTAAGTGTCTCCAGTAAAATAGAGCGATGGGATGGACGATGAGTGCTTGTTTTACGTACATACTGTATATGGCATCTGTTTGCATCCCTGGCAAGTCTATACTGATGATTGAGCTGCATATGTTAACATGGGTTTTTGTGTTTTATGCAGAAACCTGACCTCGCAGGGTTGGGCGAGTTTCTTAAGCCTCTAAATGAAGTAATAATGAAAGCAAATGCGTTAACTGAGGGAAAGCGATCTGATTTCTTTAACCACTTGAAAGCTGCTGCCGACAGTCTCGCGGCATTAGCATGGATTGCATTCACGGGCAAGGATTGTGGTAAGTTGAAATTTTTTTATTTGTAACTACAACAGATCACTATGGCCTCTTTTGATTTTCTTTTTCCTGTTTTCCTAAGGCATGAGCATGCCAATCGCCCATGTGGAGGAAAGTTGGCAAATGGCAGAGTTTTACAACAACAAGGTACTGTGGATATATGTATGTCAAATGTTATTAGCTAATGTCGGTAGTCAATGAAGGATTCTATTACTGTAGTAAGTAGTAACTAAGCAATAGACGATTAATTTCCTACGACTTTTGCTACTAGAAGTTCACCTAGATGTTATAATCTTCCTTTGAACTGTTTTTGCAAAGCAATTCTCATGGAAACTGTGAAAGAGTTTATCGATTTCATTTATTTGGTGTGGAGATGATAAATACATGATATTACTTCTCATTTCATCGTCATGTGGATATAGCCGGAGACATTCCTTGCCTTAATAGCCATCGCACAACTAACTAAGATTTTTCTTCACCTTTAGATAACTTCCACTGCCTTAGTTTAGTGTTAATGTGCGCTGATCTCGTCTCAACATTGTAGGTACTGGTGACATACAGGAACAAAGACCCAGATCATGTAGAATGGGCAAAAGCTCTGAAAGAACTCTATCTGCCGGGTTTAAGGGAATATGTAAAAGCTTTTTACCCGTTGGGTCCGGTGTGGAGTCCTACTGGAAAAGTAGCCACTTCTGCTGTGTCAAAAGCTCCAGCCAAAAGTGCACCTGCCCCCCCTCCTCCCCCACCTGCATCGCTCTTCAGTTCTGACTCTCCACAAGCTTCATCATCACGCCCGAAGCAAGGAATGGCTGCTGTTTTCCAGGAAATTAATTCGGGGAAGCCTGTAACTTCTGGTAATCACATCTTTTCTCTGTATTCTTTTCGTCATATATGGAAATGATGCAACAAGGAATGATATTCATGATTCGCAGGGCTAAGAAAGGTCACGGATGATATGAAGACAAAGAACCGTAATGACAGAACTGGAGTTGTTGGTGCCAGTGAAAAAGGTGGTCGTACTGGTTCACCATCTTTTTCGAAAGCTGGACCTCCTAAATTAGAGTTACAAATGGGTCGGAAGTAAGTTTGTTTGTTTTTATCTAATGTTGGAAATAAATGCAACAATATGATTCGTGTATATGTCACTGTGGGCAGATGGGCCGTTGAAAATCAAATTGGAAAGAAAAACTTGGTTA